TTTCATACAAATTCGCGAAAACAACTTAAAATGCTGTTTTTTGCATGCCAGGCCAGTAGTTGGCGATGTCGCTTTGTAAACAAACACTACACGAACATGTAAGAAGCAAGCACATGACATCACCATTTTCACCAATTCACGTTTTGAGCGGATAATGGTGTAGTTTTCAAAAGTTTGCATTTTCAGGCACCCAAAACACTGTTGTTGTGTAAATAAATGGCCAAAACGCATTTTAAGTTTTCAGCTTTTAGTTGAAAATTATGTAGTGTAAACACCCCCCCTTAGAATTTGGCCATATCACTTTGGCAAACAAAACGTAATGAAATTAATGTTTCACCTATAGTAACTAGGTTCCTATAGCAACAGTTCTCGGTAAAAAATCGAACCGTACGGTTCATCACACACGGTTCGGCATGCACTAGGACCGAGGTTCAACTTAAATCTGACAATGCATCTGTAATATGTTTTGTTAGAGTTCGGCTAATGCATGTTTCTGTTAATGGATACAAATTCTGGCTTCCCAATACATTACAACAAGAGCGATGAGAGAAAAAGAACAATACGTGGACCAACCAGTCACTCTTTAATCAATGCGAGTGCTGAATGCTGGAATAACTGTCATTTATGCCGTCATCACGTGTTGATAGCGCAGGTGAGACCTGAACAGCACACGTTGCTATCTGTGTTTAAACTAAACTCAATTAAGCCTTGCCAGTTTAAATATTAAAGAGCCAGAAGACGCGAACTCGCGCGCGCAGTGAGAAGATCTGTGTGTGCGCTCATCCGAAGCGCGTGAACCCGCGTCTCAGGACGCGCGCAAATATTAAGCTCTCTTTGAAGTATTGTGCTTGAACAGCAACACGGAAATCTCTCACTGCTCTTGATTGAATAACTTTTGTAACTTTAATAAGAAATCATTTTTTATTTATACAGTTAAATATGCAATGTAGTTTTACATTTGATTACTTTATTCAATTTCTGTACCTAAAAACAGTTAGACCTACCAAAAAAAACTGAAAAGCACTGTTTATTTTATTTGTATCTTTGCTCTATTGCATTTATTTGTGCTGTTGCTTGTAGTTAGATTATTTGTTCTTATTTTCTTTATTTTTATTTGCAATATAGGTTTTTCCCCTAAACATAGCACATACCGAACCGCACCGAAACCGGGACTCTAAAACCGTGATACAAACCGAACCGTGAGTAAGTTGAACCGTTGCACCCCTAATAGTAACTGAGCATCTGATTGGCTGAAGGTTTTGAAATGATCCAATCACAGCCCATTTCTCAAATTGAAAATGGCTGTATATGTGCTAAAGATGCTTTAATGTGTTCTTCAGTCTCTCTGTCCCCCTCAGCACATCCCGCTCTCAGTCCAGTCGTCTTTTTCCCTCCGTTCTCCCGAGTGTGATAATCACCACTGCTGGAGGGGTAGATGGGGGAGGAGGTGGATGGAGATGCCCCTGCACCCCTGCGGTGATTTATCAGCCCGAGTGTGTCAGCACTGCAGGAGTACAAACCTGTCTGAGCTGAAAGGGTGAGAGAAGGAGGGAGGTTGAAGGAGAGAGGAGGTGTCAGCCTGTGACTGATTGCAGCCCTCCATTCACAAGGCTATAGCCCCCTCCTCACCATCACCCCCGTCTCTGCACACAAATCTCTTCACTCACACTAAAACACACAAGTGCTTTCAGCACTGCTATTCAGTGGTGGAGCTGTGCAGTTACTAGAAAATGTCCAAAAGTACAAAGATTGGACAATTGACTAGTTAATCTTAACGAAGGTCTCTATTTCCAAAACATTCATTATCCAGTCATCTATAAAACTGGCCTCAAATCAGTAGTATATGAAATAGATTCAACTTAAAACCCATTTTACTTGTAAAATGGCACGTTTCCAATCAACATATACAATATTCAACTATTTATTAATATTGATTTTCATTTGCACCATCAAAATTTTTTTCGGCAGAACCCCTCACCTAAATCTTGCAGTTACAAGTGAACCTATTATATGGCCTTGTGGAGAAAAAATTCATTCATTCATTAATAATTTACTTTTGAATTTTTCATTTTAAATTATGTAATTTTGTATATTTTATTTAATATGTTTATTATTTATTTATTCCTTTAAAAATGGTAAAAATACAAACTAATACAATTAATAATTAATAAATTGGTACACTAAAAAGAGTAAATGTTTAAAAATGAGATGAGCGGCCCACAGAATGACTAAATTCTTTATTAATTTACTTTTGAATTTTCTTAAATTATGTTAATGTTTATATTTGGGTCAAAGACGAAAAATGGTTTAAGCATAAAAACATTAAGTGTAATACTGCTTTAAATTGTTGTTGTCCCCTCCCCCCCAAATTAAAAAGTTTTCTGTTTAATTTAATTGCAATTTTGTTTTTGTTTTTCTGAGCAAAAAATAAATATCATACATTTTTCCCTGATTTACAGAAGAGACCCACTAAAATGTCATTCAGTGTAACAATCTTGTCAGGCATATTTAGAACAAAAATCAATTTATGACATATTAAAAGACTAATTACTTTCACCCCAAATACTAATTAGTTGTAATTTTACATTTTTTAAAATTTGCCACTATCCTAGGTTTTGCCCATTTGTCAGTAAGACGTTTTTACTCATTTAAAACACAATAAAATTTAATATGCTCCCTTATTCTTTTATATATTTTAATATGTACACGTCAGAATAAGCATGTTGTTTGAATTTTTACATAAATATTGTGTTACACTGAATGACAATGTAACATTATTTCAACCAAATTTTGACATTTTATTCTCCAAAAACTTATTTGAAACCTTAAAAGTAGACACTTTCCTTACATTTAATGTGCTTTCTATGGACATAAAATCACTTTTGTAAATTTCTTTTGATGCGGATCTTAACGTCTTTGACCCATTTATTTTATGTGTCATTATTTATATTTATTTCTCATTATTCAATTATTTAAAAAAAATCTTTTAATTAATAAATTGGTAAATGCAAAAATAAAGAGTATAAGAAATAAAAATAAGTCAAAAACTTAAATTAAAATCTACATAAATGAAAAGATGGCACTGTGGAGACCAGTCACCTACAGAATGAATGAACGAATGAATGAATGCATGAATAATTAACTAAAATACATAAATGCATTCTTCATTAATTTACTTTTGAATATTTCTTATTACTTATTTTTATATTATTTTTATGTGTATGTATTTTTGTAATTTATTAATTCATTCAAAAAAAATGTACAAAAAATTAATTAATACAATTAATAATTAATAAATTGGTACAGTAAATATATTATTAAAAAAAGATACAAGAAATAATTTTGAAAACCCCTTTAAAATCAATTAAAATCTACACAAATGAGGAGATATCTTTTGGGTAGTATTTATTTTCTTGCATATGTCAACAGACAGAATGCCAAATAGTATTAAATTTATGGCCATTTCCTTTTGACTAGTCGGTCTTATCAGGGTCCATCAGACCAGGATCAGATGCAATTTTATAGGGGCACTCACATAATATGGAATCATGTCATATTAATTATTTTTCTTTATTTCTGTGCTACAAAAGCAGGTCGTCACATCAGCAGTTGCCACGGGCCCCTTGCGCTCACTTTCTGTCTCTCAGCTAAAAATACACAGTGCTTCTGCAGCAGTAAACCATTGCAGTTTCGATGTTGGATAGTGCTGTGCTCATGGCACTGCTGACCACTGGTTCTGCTGTACTGAAGCTCAGACATGCTGAGAAAGGCCTTAATTAATGGAAAAAAGTGTGTGTTTGTGTGTTGGAGGTGTGCGTGGTGAGCCAGGCGGGGGGGGATGATTTATTCCAGTGTCACCTTGACCCCTGACGCAGAGATACAGCTCAATTAAACAGGATTGGCCCCACAGCCCTGCTTTCATCTACTGCCCGTGAGTTCTGCAAAACACGCACACACAAGGGGCCACATTCACTGGGTCCAATAACATCCAAATGGAGCGCTTTTCACCTCCCTCTGCCACCAAAAACCTAAAATGTTAATGACCTAAACCAAAATGGAGTAGCATGAAGAATTGATTCCTACAGGCTGTATTGTTTCTTCTGTGGTTCCTAATTGCTGTTCTAGGCTTCTGTTTCCAAAAACACTTTAAATCATTATCCAGAGATCTATAAAACTGGCCTCAAATCAGTGGTAGATCATGAAACAGAATCAAAATGAAACAGCATTCGCAATCCTTTTACTTCCATAACGTGGAGCGTTTGCAAGTGAAATACGGTATTCAACGATTTAATCAGATTGATTTTCCTTTGCACTTTTTTTCTGCCATAGGCAACAGTGAAAAATACTTCCCCACTAAATCCTTCAATTAAATCTTGCAGTTAGATTGGATGAATCCATTGGGTGGTGCTGTGGAGACGTGCCATCCATATATTTAGTAATTTCTAATAATATCTTTTTTTTTTTCATTAATTTACTTTTAAGTAACTTTTAGGCTTTTTTAAAAATATATTTATATTATATAGAAGATATTTTATTTATAATTTAATTTGTATTAAAATGTAAAAATGTTATTTAAAAACAAAAAAAATGGAAGAATGAACAAATGAATTAATATATGCATTCATTATTAATGTTCTTTTGAATAGTTCATATTACTTCATTTTAAATTATGTAATTATTTTACATGAATTCTTTCATTTTTATTTGTTTGTTTATTCTTTTATTTGTTAATTAATTAAAAAATGTAAGCAATATAAAAATAATACAATTAATAATTAATAGGCACTGAAGACATGCTGCTCACAATTAATTCCTTTTTTTACAAAAGAAAATCGGTAAGGTAAATTAATTAAAAAACTCACAATAAGTAATAAACATTTAAATTAGAAATTTAATGATAACTTTTGATGAAAAACTTAATGAAGCCTGTAGACAACTTTCGTTTTTTTCACAATTTTGACACATAAAACCAAGCAAGTTAAAGTGGCTAGTCTGTTTACCTGCAAAAGCCTTGGAGATGTGTTCCTTCTTCCACTCCCACGGTTGGTCGTATTCATCTGCGGGCCTCTCGTCGTCCTGCGGCAGCCTGCTCTCCCTCCCCTCCTCGGGCAGATCCGGCTGCCCTGGGACGCGCTCCTCATATGGGGTGTCATAGAGCTGGACCTCCCCTCTCCCCCAACCTCGTGCTCCACCACCAGCTCTCCTCTGCAGCTCTGCAACACCAAATAAACCAGTTATAAACTTTGTTCAACCCTAATCTGGCTCTGTTCTCCAAATTTCCACTTAAGAAAAGCTGGTACTGACCCCTTAAAGGAATAGTTCACCCGAAAATGAAACTTTACTCATCCTCAGGCCAACCAAGATGTAGATGAGTTTGTTTCTTCATCAGGTTTGGAGAAATTTAGCATTACATCACTTGCTCAGCAGTGGATCCTCTGCAATGAATGGGTGCCATCAGAATGAGAGTCCAAACAGATGATAAAAACGTCTCAATAATCCACCAGTAATTCCCACCACTCCAGTCCATCAATTAATGTCTTGTGAAGCGAAAAGCTGCGTGTTTGTAACAAATAAATCCATCACCTTGCTTGATCTGTGCATATTTCTCTCCTGATTCAGACAAGATAACTTTTACACTGGAGAAAGCAATAATATGGATAAATGACTCATATTTTAGCTGAAAGCAACAGTTTGAAGTTAAAAACATCTTGATGGATCTGTTTATTACAAACACGCAGCTTTTCGCTTCACAAGACGTTAATTGATGGACTGGAGTGGTGTGGATTACTTGTGGATTATTGTGATGTTTTTCTGACGGCACCCATTCACTGCAGAGGATTCATTGGTGAACAAGTGATGTAATGCTAAATTTCTCCAAATCTGTTCTGATGAAGAAACAAACTTAATCTACATCTCGGATGGCCTGAGTGTGAGTACATTTTCAGCAAACTATCAATTTTGGGCAGTTCGTGATCAGAATAAGTTGCAAAGTGTACCAGATTTGTGTTGATAGTCCAACGTCTGGCTTTGTAAGATTATTGCCATAACATTGGGTTTGAAAGCTGATTCAGGCATCTTCTAGAAGTTTCACAGTGGCATATGTGTTCATTAAAACGGTGCGAGACAAGCCGCACTGTTAAATCAAAACAATAACTCAACAATAAATCGATATGTTCACTGGGCTCCACAGCTGGGCTCCCTCGCCTGGGCCACATTAATTATGAAAATGTCTGGTGAAGAGTGGCAGGGAATGAATCTGAAGGAGAGACAAATTGTGTTTGCACAGCTTGACGATTTCATACGGGAGGGCTTAACAAAAAGAGAAAGAGATGCATGTGTGCGCATAGATCGAGTCAAACTCAAGGACTGGGGTCTCTCATCTCTCCTGATGGGCATTTTCATTTCCATTATCATATCTCTCAAACAACAAGCGTTGAACAACAGGATGTCTGAATGACCTTCAAGTGCTTTTCAGCAAAAATAATAGTTGGTTAAAAGCCTATATGAAAACAACTGCAACTACAAAATGTTTTGAGGAATATTATGCTTTCATTTTAGCTCAAGTTAGCTTGCTAAACTGTTGTCTGGAATCAGTAGATGAATGTGAACTAGCAAGACACCAGTATTACAATTCTGGCCTACACAGATAAACCCATAACCATTTAACCGATAACTGGTACTAAAATTCTAGAATATTTTGTTTAAATAAATTTGAAATAAAACACTAATAACTAAAATCAATCGTTTTAAATACTACAAGTGAATTAGGGCATCAGGGTTATTATCGTTAACTAAAACTAAATTAATTTTAAAACAATTTCTGTAATAAAAAAAAAAACCTAAATGAAAATGAGAAATTTTGCCTTGGCAACTAGTTTAAATAAAATAAGTACTAGAATAACTAAAACTTAAACTAAATAGACATAAAAAAAAAACTAATAAAATAAAAACAACAAAATGACTAAAACTTTCAAGTTCAAATAATTAAATTAAAATGAAAACAAAAAAAATCTAATTCAAAATATTAACAAAAATATATATTTTTAAAAAGTATATAATGATAAAAAAATAACATTGTTCAGCTTCACAGCATTATGAACAGCATGAAAAACGGATATTCATTTTGAGATTGGCTAAAGTTTACATTTAACTTGTTATTAATTAATTTTTTTTTTTTTTAGATATTAACTGTTAGAATATTAAGTGTTAGACAATAGCAAAGAAAATCTAAACATTAAACAGAGATGTTCATGTTATTTTAGTATTATTTACATTAACTTATTTTTAACTTGTAACTTGGTTTATTTCAGTTAGGGGAACAAGGGAACATTTCTAATGTTCATTTAAGCTATTTAATTTAAGTTTTGAATAAGTTTATTGAATATTTACATTTTATTTTATTTCGAAAAATGTAAAAGCTTTACTTAACTATAACAACACTGGCATGCACAATTAAATATCTACTATTATTCAATATAATAAATGACATTTTTAATATCGGCTAATAACCTATATGGTACCGATATATTGTGCAAACACCGTATTTAATAGACACTATAGGTAATAAAGGACACTAATGTTGTTGATTCAAAGTTGTATAGAACTCTGAACATTCTCTTAATCTTTTCAGCCCTAAATGTTAAATTACAAAGACATACATGAATTAATCACTTGAGTTTCATCCGGCGAACAGCCCAGATATTAAAAATTATGAAAAGTGTGAAACCAAACAGACCAGACATGGGACGGACCGCCTGGAAAGGAACACTGGCATGTACGTGTGTTTCAGTGAGAAAGAAAGAAAGTAAGCAGGACAGAGAAGAAACCAGGCAGGCGTACCGTAACAAGAGAAAGACAAACTTTAACCTTCACACATCCTGCTTCTATTGGGCTCCTTAGCCGTCTCCATAGCGACAAAGAGGAGGCCCTGAGGGACAGACCCTGAGGTGGACGGAGAGAGAGAGCTATGTGTTGATGTTAAGCGTTTGTGACGTGCGAGAGAGGGGCTGCTAGATTCCCCCGTACCTGAGAATTGATGGAGAATGAGAGAAGAGATTAACCTGTAGAGATGGATTGAAAATTAAATGAGGCTGCCTTGAAGGCAAGACCGATCTGAGGAGAAATTAAGGTGGATGCTGGGGTCCTACGGAGAAAAAATACAATTCCCTGAAAAGATCTAAGGAACACATCACATTTCAGCTCTGTTCCAAAACCTAGCAAAGTTTGTCTACTGTCTATATAGACAGCTACCTTCTAAGTGTCAGTTCACATAGAACATGTTTTTTATATTCTATAAATATAAATAGAATATTTATGTTTGGACTCTCATAAATAGAAATGAGCTGCTTTCTCATTGTTTTCTATGTAAACATGCACTAGTCGAACATGTTTGACCATTTCGCTCACAACTTTTGCAGCATCTTGCACATGACACATCCTAATAATGTGACACTCAAGGTAAAAATAGATAAACTTTTAAAAAACGTCTTGTTTTGTGTAAATGGCCCTTAAGTTAACATCTTAATTCAAATGGAATATCACAAGCAATTGATTTGCAGTAACTAAATAGCACTTCTCACATGAATTAGATGGGAGCCATGTTAGCACATTGCTAAGCTAATGCTAGTCATGATGATACTCTTAAGAATTAAAGAAAATACAACCCCAAACAAATCAGGTACAACAGTCAATTTTAATTATGTTGAACTATTTAACTAATACTTTGAATGCGAATGAAATTGTTGTCCAGAAGAGTTAGCATTAGCAGTTTTGAGCCACTGGCTGACTGAAGAAATTTTGTAATTGTTTTCGTGAGTAAAATAAGGTTGTGTTTTGTTCTACAACATAAATTAGTCATTGACGTCATACCTCCAACATAAATTTGGAAGAAGTTGTGTGCTTTAAAAAGCAACTTGCTAACAAGTCGTTAAATGAGGACTACCTACGATAAAGATCTGAGTTTACATATTTAAATCAGGCAACCATGTTAGCAACTTGCATTTTTAAGTAAAACATTTTTAATTGACATTTTGCAATGCCGGTTAAAAGCCTATATGAAATTAACCACAACTACAAAATTCTACACCGACATATTCCTAAAAAAAAAAAAAAAAATTTAAACCATCATATCATGCTTCCATTTTAGCTAATGTTAGCTTGCTAAACTGTTGTCTTGATTCAGCAGAATGTAAACTAGGAAGGCACATTATAAATATTCTGGCCGATACAGATAAACAGAGTTATTTAACAATACATGACAATATTAAAAATCTATACTATTTTTTATAGTATCTGGGAGTGTATCCGGGTATAGTTTCCGGGGGGGTGTGTTCACTACTCACTGCTGTGTGTGTGCACTTGGATGGAATAAATGCAGAGCACAAGAAATTAGTATGGGACTGTTGGGACACCATATTTGGCCATGCGTCACGTCACGTCAATTAAAACACTAAAAACTAAAATGGATATTTATTTTGAAATTTGCTAAAGATCACTGTTAACAGTGCTATTCAATTATTAGTGCTTTTAAAGTTTGACTTTATTTTTACATCTTAAATTTCCATTACTGTCATCTAACGCTCACTTAGAGGAAATCAGCATCACAATTAAAATTAACATTTGAGGTATATACTGTATGTCATTTATGTTGTAGAATAAAACAAAATGTTACTACTAATCTACTCAGCTTATGCTAACTACAGACCCCATTTTCTCATAAAATCAAAAAGCACTATTCTAAAAACCCATAGGAAATTCCTGAGGGAACCCATAGTGAATTAGCCTTCCTGGCCAACAAACTGACATCATGACTAAACAACTCCACACAAATTTGTTATGATCGTCATTTCTTTGGACTCCGCCGGTATCACCAATGCATTGTGGGCTTAGAAAGCAGTAAAATGTTGGTGGCTACTTTTTGGAATGTTCTGTGTGTAACGATGAAGTATTAAAATGCTGTCTACATCTTGAAGCAGAGATAAAATCTCTCAAATCAGTAAGTGGCAAAAGTCAATGGGAATAAAACAATGGAAGAAATTGCATGAACACAGAACTGTAATCTGTGAGACTCCAGGAGAGAATCAGCAGTGAGTCACTGTCTGACAGCACTGGATGACTGGGGACTTGCTGAGAAAGACACACTCATAACACTCATACTTCATTCTCTCCATACGACTCAAAGGGCAAACCAGACTCCCCTGGGCCATGGGAACACACACCAAAAGAAATCTGACTGACCAGTTATCACTTTCTGGGCCTCGTAGGGCTCCATATAGCCGTTGTTTTCAGGAGTGATTTGGCTTTGGATGGTTTCGGGACGGGGGTCCAAACGAGCATCGAATGGGTCGGAGTAGTCGGTATCTCCCATAACTGGAGCTGAAGGGACCACCTGAAACAAGAACAAAGTCATGTGATGATCTTCACCCAGGAGAAGGAACATACAATATCCCTTTTATTCAGTGCAACAAATTGAAGATTATCTCAGTTTGCTGAGGGATGAATGAAGGGAAATCATTTTTTTAATTATGAGGCAAAAAAAACATTTTCAGTCAAACAGACAGCATCTCTCTCTTTTTTTTTTTTTACACTGCTCTTTTAGCACCAACAATAGTCATAATTTGGTGTTGTATGGACATTTTTTTTTTACGAAAAAAACCCCCGTTCTAACCAGGTGTGCGATAAAGTGACAAGCAGCATGCAAATCATTTTTTTTCCTAACTGACTGCAATAAGCAGCAAATGAAAGTTGCTAACTACTGACTAATTGTTCTTATGTAAATATATTTGGTCATGTGCTCATGGTTGTGACATCATGATTTCTGAACGACATGTCTTCGCTATTTACATTCTTCTAGGGCTGTACTTTTAATCTAAACAAATCCACAAATCGCAATTTGGCTGTGCAGTTATTGCATCGCGAAGGCTTTGTAAAATTTGCGATTCAGTTAAATAAATATTAGTGCTGCCATAATTGATTAATTGCAATTAATCGCATCTAAAAGTTTGTTTACATAATATATGTGTGTGTAGTGTGTATATTTATATGTATATATAATAAATACACACACATACATGTAAATATTTAAGAAACATGTAATATATATTTATATATATAATACAAATCATTCATAAACAGGAGTAATATATATATATATATATATACACACACACACACACACATACATATTTATTATATATATACACACACATGTATGTCTGTGTACATATATACAGTGGGTACGGAAAGTATTCAGACCCCCTTAAATTTTTCACTCTTTGTTATATTGCAGCCATTTGCTAAAATCATTTAAGTTAATTTTTTTTCCTCATTAATATGGGGTGCTGTGTGTACATTAATGAGGAAAAAAAATTAACAAATGATTTTAGCAAATGGCTGCAATATAACAAAGAGTGAAAAATTTAAGGGGGTCTGAATACTTTCCGTACCCACTGTACATATAACATATAAATATACACAGTACACACATATATTGTGTAAACACAAACTTTTATTTTGGATGCGATTAATCGATTTGACAGCCCTAATAAATATATGAACTGCATGTTTCAGAGCGAACCTTGGCACAAGGTCTTCTTTTGATGGTTTAACATAAAAAAAAAAAAAGAAGAAATCAAGCAAGCTCATAAATTAGTATTGTAATTTTAGTTTTACTGTAAAATAAAATTATTTTATTCATTTTCTTAATCATTTTTATATTTTATACATATTACAATAGCATTTTTTATTTATTTCTTTAATATTTGTAGTAATAATAAACAATATTAACACAAAAAATACTTTTATTATATTCCTTTAATACTCTTTTTAATACCCCAAATCGTGCAGCCCTTGTGTCTTCACATACTTTCAAATCATGTACATATAGCAACACCAGCTCATTCAGCGCGAGACACCGAAAACCAGCAGACTCGCAAAGACGTGCTACCTTCTCCCTTGAAGCAGAAGGTGGCAGTGGGGAAGTGTTGATGAGCATGTTAGGAGGTGTGTTTGTCTCCCATACCAGGCCCGGGAGGAAGCCCTCAATCAGCTGGCACTGGGACAATTACAAAGACGGCCATATGGTCTCTCAAACAAGGCCTTTAGCCAACGGCTCCATGCGGCACCATTCAGCCTGCAAACCATGGTGCGCAACAATCTCCCGATTTCCCACCAGGCAAATCGCCCAATTGTCTGGTTGATCTTTAACAAGAATAGAAGGACAATAAATCTGAAATGTTCATTAGGAACGCTATAAAAACTTAATTAGGATTACGGTGGAAATTAATGAAGGTTAACAGGGAATGATGTGTAACAGTGCTCGCAAGACAATGCACTTAAAGGGTCGCCATTAAATTGGGATTTAAATCGATGGCGTGGCATTGGCATGGCTGTTCTTCAAGCCCAACCAATCAGCTCGCTCATCACTGGTACTGATTACGATCAATGAGACTCCACTGAAGGCTGCTATCTGTCCGTGACCGTGTGTGTGAGTGCGGATTCCTCCGCTGTCTGCCAGTATTGAGTCTCTACTCAATGTCTGATCACAGGACGAACCTTTCTGGCTCTTGTGAGTATTCTCTATGGGACCACCCCAACCCCACCAGCCTAACTAAACTCCATGTATTATTCAAGAGATTTAGCTGTGGTGGATCAAGAGGTTTTGACACCTACGGTGCTCCGAGACACGAAATCTAATGCAGGGTTAACAGAGGGTTTACATGAAAGATTGTTTCACACTGCAAATCACTTGTTTGACTGTTTGTTTTATGTATTTCATCACCTGATGGCTTCAGGTATCACCAAAACTCGTCAGATCTATGACTACTTAACGTTTTAAAAAACACTAAGAGGTGTATATTAAGTTTTTTTTTTTTTTTCACAAATAGACAAAAAATGTATTTTCTAAGTTGTAAATAAAAGAGATTACTGGAGTACGTTTTACAAGAAAAAAAACGATATATATATATATATTTTTTCTTCCTTGTAAAATAATCTCCCATTGGTTGGTCAAACACACTTTGTTGGGAAGGTTACTTTGGAAATAACAAGCTACAGATTACAAAATTACAATTTAAAATGTAGTAAGTATTGTAACTATTTCAATTACTTTATTAAAGTAATGTAACTGATTACATTTTATTACTTTTCTAAATTTCCAACTAATGTTTTCAACAGTTAATCATTTTCAAACCCTTAAACCAGGCAGAGTTATTCTTACAGTAGAACTCAACACTGATTACTGTCAGACTTACTAAATCATTCATCGCTTGAATTAAGATTATAATAATTTAATTTTAAAGCACAGCCACCACAAAATCAGACTTTAGCACCTCTTTTTACTTTGAGTTATAATACAGATCTAAAATCATAACAAGAAATAGATTTTTTTTTAATAGCTATGATACTGTTTTTAAAATCAAATCTTTGCATAGCTATGACAGGAAACACTGGCATCTAACAATGCCTTGGAAAAAACAGTTCATCTTAAAAAATAAAGCATATACATAAACACAAAAAGGAAATAAAGCAGTTATTGAACAAGCATGTAAACTAAACTCCTGAAACATTGGTGTCAATGCGAGAGCAGTCAATGCAATTTGGGAAAGAAATCAATTAAGTGTGTGTGTGTGTGTGTGTGTGTGTGTGTGTGTGT